CCTGGCCGGCGGAAAGCAACTCCTCCGTGCACGCAGCGCCGAGTCGAGCCTCACGGCACCAAACCCCGCCAGAAGCGCCTGCTTTCACCTCTCCTTTCTAGATGTGGCGGATGCTTCTATTAAAAAAAAAAAAATACGAAAAAGACGACTCGTCGTCTTTGCAGCTTGGGCAGGGGACCTGAGAGAAGGGTCTGTGTTCAGGACAGCAGCCCCTGCGGCACTCAGGGAGCCAGAGGCCGGTCTGAGGCCCCAGACCCTCAGTGCTGCCTGTAGCCCAGGGTGACGATGTTTAGGAGACTTTGGCGGTACAAAGTAAAGTAGTTGTTTAGTTCCGGGAGATGGTGCATCGCAGAAATCCTTGAAGCGATTCCCAACATTTCAGTAAGTGGTGGCCTCTCCGATACTGTCACTGTGGCCTGCCACGGGGAGTAGTACGACCGAAAGGAGTAGAGGGAACTGCAGGAGACCTAAGAAAACGGGAAGGCGGGACACGTATCTGAAGTAACCAAAGCACTATTAGACTCCATGAAAAAATAATTGGCAGAATGGGTCCCTGCCATGCTGTTATTTCTTTGCAGTCTCAGAATCACAGGATGGTTGAGGGCGGAAGGGTCCTCTGGTGGTCAGCTGATCCAACTCCCTGCTCAAGCAGGACAACCTAGAGACAGTTGCCAGGACCATGTCCAGACAGCTTTTGAAGATCTCCAGGGTCTCCACAACCTCCTTGGTAAACCTGTGCAGGTGTTTGGTCACCCTCACAGTGCAAAAATGTTTCCTGATGTTCAGAGGGAACCTCCTGTGTTTCAGTTTGTGCCCATTGTCTCTGGTCCTGTCACTGGGCACCACTGAGCAGAGCCTGGCTCTGTCCTCTTTGCGCCCTCCCCTCAGGTACTTGTACACACCGATGAGATCCCCCTGAGCCTTCTCTCCTCCAGGCTGAACAGTTTCAGCTGTCTCAACCTTTCCTCTTAGGATAGATGCTCCTGTGCCTTCATCATCTTCATGGTCCTTCACTGGACTCTCTCCAATATGTGCATGTCTCTTTTGTACTGGGGAGCCCAGAACTGGACCCAGGACTTGAAGTGTGGCCTCACCAGTGCTGAGCAGAGGGGAAGGATCACCTCTCTCGACCTGCTGGCAACAATCCCACTAATGCAGGCCAGGATAAAATTAGCCTTCTTTGCCACAAGGGCACATTGACGGCTCATGTTCAATTTGGTGTCCACCAGGACCCCCAGGTCTTTTTCTGCCAAGCTGCTTTCCAGCTGATTGGCCCTCAGCCTGTACTGGTGGTGCATGGGGTTGTTCCTTCCCTGGTGCAGGACTTTGCGCTTCTCTTTAATGAAGTTCACAAGGTTCCTGCCAGCTCATTTCTCCAGTCTGTCGAGGTCCGTCTGGATGGCAGCATGATGACCCTCGGGTGTATCAGCCTCCCAGTTCTGTATCATCAGCAAACTTGCTGAGGGTGGACTCTGCCCCATCATCCAGATCATTAAGAAAGATGTCGGACAGATTGGAGCCAGTGTTGACTCCTGTTGTACACCACTAGATACTGGCCTCTAGTTACTTCATGTGACTAATCACAACCCTAATCTCCTAGACTACTTTCCCCTCCAGCTGAGTGAGCTGCAAGACAGGCACCATTTTTATGTTCTGTTTATCCATCCCATGCCCCCAGTAGCGACCAGCCCTATCTCTTCCCACTAAAATGCATTACCAGTGAAAAAATTAACAGGGCTCGGCATCTGACTTTCATTATGGGCATCAGGGCTGACACATTCTTGAGATAAAAGAAGGGTAGGGTCTGGGCTACACTGTATTATTGAAGAAACAGGATCAGTTCGTGCTTGCAAGAATGTCATAATAACTGAAGTCAGACAGATCAAGCTTAAGCTTACTGTCAGTGAACACTGACAGGGCTGGCAGCACCATACACTGCTTGAGCGTAGACCATGTGCCACACAATTTTGCAAGCAGCAAGTAGTCCACTTGTCTGCACTATAGATCCTTCCAGATTAAAAGAAGGAAATGTACTTATGGAAATGGTGCAGTGGTTTGAAAGGACAGGCTTTAATGAAATAGTGCTTATGTATTCCAGAACCTAAATAATTCATTTAAATTTTCTCCCAAAACATATGAAGAAAAGCTCTGTCCATCAGCAAAATCTGGCAGGTTTAGATTTCTGTGAAGCAGATTTGTCTAACTAGATATTCATAAGAGAATTAAAAGGTATGACAGACCAATGCAAGTCCCAAAACATCAATAAAGTTTGGGTCAGGCAGAGGGAGAAAGGAAGATGTAAGTCTTAAAACTGTTTTCTATTCATGAAGCATTTGTGAAGCAAACCTTTGCGAAGTCAAATATCAGGCCAGTTGTCTTGCAATAGAAGACTATCCAAACATTTCTTAGTTTGGGCAAGGAAATAGAATATTGGTCATGGACAAGTAATTTAATTTAAGAATACAGTGAAAAGTATTAAAGTAACATATTAAAGTAACTTTTTCCGGTATTATTGTAATGGTAGGAAAAGGACAAAGAACAAACCTTAAGAAGTACATTTTCCCTTACTTTTTTTTTTACATTTTTGCTAGCATTATCAGTGACAAATATTGAGACTACTTAATTTTAAAATAAATACTAGTGTTTACTTCTAAGTCCAAAACAAAACACTATCAAGTTTCGGAGAAGGGAAAACTAAAAAGGAAGAGGGAAATAAAAATCAACCAAAAAAAGAATATCCCAAAAGCCAAATTAATCCATAACTCTGTCAAACATGCAAGTAATCATTAGAAACTGTTGCAGTAATAAAGAAGTGTGAAGCAACAGAGATACTTAGGAAAGCCTAAAGCTGCACATGGAGAGGAAGGGGAAGGGAAAATAGCACAGTAGTGAAATGAATAATCTTCTTTCTATTTTGGGGGGGGGAAAGAAAAGCAACTGCCGATTTATCCACTGAATATTTTGCTATGGCAACAGTATATTCACAACATGGAAAGAGCAAGATATTTAACAAACTAATCAAAGTGCAACTCAGTAAATCTGTAATATGGATGGCAGTCTAGCAACGCCAACAACTCGAATAGGGTAATGGCCAAATTAAGCCAATGACATCTGAATTAAACCTGTTATGCATAGACATTGTGCTAGGGAAATCAATGAGGTGGTCACAGAGGATGTCACAAACATTCAAGCACGCAAGATTCCCTATTTATTCAGTGCACAAGACAGACGACAGTCACTCAATAAGCATCTGTGTGATGTGTGGCCTTAAGCCCTCTTTGCTCTATTCTCTTCTCATCCTGAATACAGTCAGGCTGACAAGTTTCTTCGTGTGCATTTTCTATGCCACTTATCACTAGAGTACGAGGAGTTCACAAACGTCTGCTTTTCTCAAAACACTTAGAAGATAATTGGGTGATTTCAACTCATTTCCAGATGGTGAATAAAAGCATGTGGATCTTAAGGAGAAATACAGCTGCTGATCCCGATTATGCAACAAGTTGAACCTAAAGCTCAATCTTTCAGAGGATGTAGCTCTACAACCTTTCCCTTTCAGGCAAGCGGGCATTGACCTCGGGCTGAGCAGTTTCT